CTCATATACACTATCATATATAGTGTTTACTCATAAACACTGCCTTTTGAATGTTATGTATGTGATGGTATTTATGTCATGTTTTGTTTGTGCTATTGGAATCATTTATAGCAACTTACTATGTGTTGTTTGTAGATGTGGTTTGTAAATGTCATGTTTTTAACTCTACAAGTAATATAAAACATTATACCATTAGTATGTGTTTCTGTCAAACCATGTCAAATGACTTGTATTTTACCATTGAATTATAAATCGACTATTATAATACCATAATACATGAAAATATTACAATAACAAATGTACTAAAGCTATTATAATACCAATACCTAACCAACCAAATATCAAACCAAACCGGTTACAAAACATCAGGACATTAAAACATCACTCTTTTCCAAACACCAAAATGGAACTTAAAATTACAATGACCACAACATGCATTTTTTTAACATCTTGAACACCTGTGATCCTTGATTTTGGACACGTGAGGAGAGAAAAAAAAGAGCAGAAATAGATTCTTGATTTTGAATGAAAGCTTGATGAAGACAATGAGACTTTAAGGTTTAAATTATGGTCAATTATATCAATAATCATTTATATAAAATAGTCAGTTATGTTTTAACACCAAGTAATTTTGCTATTTTCCACTAAAAACCGAGGGTCATTTTTATACGTTTGAGGAATCATTTGTTAATATATAAAATTTGATTGTTTACATTTGGTTCCAACATTTTCAAACTCACCTATGGCAAAAATGATACAATTGTGTAAATCCTCAACAAATCATGTTTATGACACCTGGCAGAATCGAAAAGTTTCGCGGAAGAAATCCTAAATGTTCCCCATCGGATTGCACGTAAATACTGTTTGTTCCCACCACCTCCTCTACTTCGATCGAAAAAGCACTACAATTGAAACAAAATAATTATATATTTATCTAAAATTACGATTTTACCCTCCAACCCTGTCATGAAAATTCAAACAACTTTATACTTGTGAAAATTTCGCAATAATTAGTTTATAGGTGTTTCGTGTTCGGGTAACCTACTCTTGCTTGTATAATCTGATTATTTAAGGGTCAGATGATCAATTTCATATCAGTTGTAACTAAACTAATTATCGCAAGGTAGAGTATATTACAAATTTGGTCCCTGTGCTTTACTCAAAATGACAAGTTTGGTCAGATTTTTGAAATCTTCCTGAGAAGTCATCCCTTAAGTTTGCATTTCTTCCTCTAACAATGATATGTAAAAAGTTGGACAAAACTTGAGATTTTGAGTAAAGCATAGGGACCAAATCCGCAACAAAATGCAAACTTAAGGACAACTTCGGGAAAATTTCAGAAGTTAGGCCAAACTTGCGATTTTTAGTAAACTTATTCTATATACCCTTACTTTATTCGTTACTTCTTTAAGTAATCATCAAAACTAGTTATTATAACTTATAATCTGATTCACCACATAATCACTTTCAAAATGCACTTGAAACACCTCATAAATAATCTCTCTAGATTTTGTAACTAAATATGGAATGCAATAAAAACTTGTCAAATTTTTTTTTTTGCCAATTACGACGGAAAAATAAATAAATAGTTTTTTTTTTCATTAAAAATGATGTTTTGTGACTTTAAAAAAAGAAGATTTACCTTCTTGACAAGACATTATTCACTGATAAATGTGTCCCGTTGTATAGCCTATGTAACTTCATAAGAAAGTCATACCATTTGAAATCCTGAAGTGTCACCACCTGATAAAGAAATACCAATGTAAATGAAAATATATTTCAATTTCTTGCATATAGCCCTATACTAAATGCAGAAAGCACGACTTAATAGATAAAGCCAGAGAAAAGAGGCTTTCCTATTAATTCATAACTATTTACAAATAAATTTGCCCTAGTTTATTTTTTCCTTCCATCTCCCCAATTGTGTCATCATTTTCAGGAATATTTTTTTTATCCATTCGCCACTTGAGGCATGTTTCTTTTAGTTTTTGGATTTAATGAAACAAGTAAATGACCATTTTACCCTTTTGTTTAAAAGTGATTGCTGAATAACAAATGACTGTTTAATTTAGAAATTAAAATTAAAAACCTAAGCCATTAAGATGGGCTATATATGTATTTTAAGTTAAAAAGAAACAGAAATGGACCTCAAAATTTCCATTTGAAGGATGAGCATTGGGAGTGATCCTCATTCCACCACCAAAGAATTGTGCATTTCCAATGCATAGAGCTGTTACCTTTGGATACACTTCCCACTCCCCATCATTCACCTAAAAAAAAAATCCATATCATGTTGTTAGATTGCAACTTTTGTCCCACCCAAAAAGGAAATAAATAAACCTCATCTCATCTATAGCTTTTTGAATCCTCACATCAGCTTTCTACTAACTTTATCAAACAAAAACCTTATTAACTCCAATCATTGACCACTTTTGAAAGTGTTTTTTTTTTATTAACTAATCTACCCTCATTTTTGTGAAATGTTTTGTAAATCCCCTTTATCTAATTTGTTAATTTTTAAGCACATGTAATGTTTAAATAAAACATAACTATAGTTGACTATGTTGGGTCTTTTTTTGAAATGAAACAAATTAAGTAGTCAGGAAATAATAAGGCTTTGAAGGTTAAATATAATTAAGGGAAATATTATTGAGTAAAAAGGGGTTAATTGTACCAAAAAAAAACATTTAGTAGAATAAAAATGGTTGATAATATTTACCCTCTACGATGATTGAAAAAAAAAAAAAAAAAAAAAACAGTTTATGGGGTTTTGATCTAAATAAATGACTTCTCAAAAAACCTCCCACTGGAGATGGAGGTATGTGATTGGGTCCCACCCACAAAAGACCCGCTCTTGATCTCTTGTCATACTCAATTACTCATCATTAAAATTTAAAAATAGCCCTAGAAAGTTTGTCTAAATACTAACTTTGATCTTTAGGTCTTGATTGTGATGTCCAAAAAAGGCTTGCAATGCACCAATTACATAACACAAACTCCCAAATCTTTTGTATTTAGATGCATGAAACCCTGCTTTTGCACTCCTGAAATTTTACATAACATAAAATGGGTTAACCATGAGTTCGTTTATTTGTCAATTATAGCATCCTACCCTCTTTTCTTCTTAATATAGCAATGAAACCTACCAACATACTCCCATATCTATTCTATTTAGATTTTAGATGCATGATAGCTTGTTTTGAAATTTTATTTAACCAACATTCTTGTTCTGATAAATGGAAGTACATTGCTATTTCTTGCTTTTAGTCCTAAAATAAATTCGAAAACGGCCTTCTCTTTTCTTTATTTCCAAATACCTCTCAATTTATAAGAACATCAATGTGGTTACATAATGAGGTTTGTTCTGATAATTTTAAAGGCTAATTAATACACTTACAAATGAATATCAGCAACATTTATGAAGTAATGCAAATCTCCACCTTCTTTAGAGATTACTCCTACATCAATTCGTGATCTTGACCCTGCAGTTGACTTCCACTCAAAAATTCAGAAAAAAATATATATAGAAAATAGTAGAAAGTCACACACAAAAGAGGAATCACGACCTTTAACTATGCGTTCAATGGCATCAACAGGATCATTTGTCCTAAAAAAATTGAAAATTTGTTCAAAATATTAAGATGGTGATTGATGTGAATATCAAATACCTTGAAGAAACCAATGAAAAAAGTACTAACCAGCCAAATGTTCTTGCAAAATCAGATCCAGTTCCCAAGGGGATTAACTACAAATGCATAGGAATAAAGGGCTAAATGCAAGAAATAGCAACATACTTTCATTTCATTCTATTATAGCATTGTACTTTCAAGATTTTTTTTCTTATTAAGACATTATACTTTGATAAAGCTACCCAATTATAGCAGTGAAAACTGACATTGCTATAACTGGGTAGATTTATCAAAGTGCAATGTTGTAATAGAAAGACTTGAAAGTAGGATGCTTATAATAAACAAAGAAATGCAATTAAGCCATTAATAAAAGTATTTGGAAAATCATAATTTTGATTTTTATAAATTAAAGTTCTATGCAATAACTTACTCCAAGAGATGTTGTACGTGGAACTTTTGAATCGTGTTTAGTAACCGGTTTTCCACCCCAAAAGAATCCATTAACAACCTAACAAAATTAAAAGCCTCAACATGTTATAAATTTATAATTCTTGGAATAATTCTATGACCACCACCAGTTTTACCATTTTACCCCCCTATAGTGTACTTATGAGAGAAATGTGTATCACATATCATACTTGTTCTATATTTTATATTTGATAAAAAGAATATAAATTATTCTGAAGAGAAGTCGTACCTCGTGAAGAGTCCCATCACCTCCAACTGCCACAACTGCATCAGCACCCTCACGTATTGCCTGACACATTTTGTCCATTTAAATTTTTGAATAATCTTACATACATTATTTTAATTTTGAATGCAAACATAAAGACACAAAATTCAAAACATGCTTACCTCCCTTGTTATATCTATCGCATGAGATGGACCCGAAGTCAAAGATTCGCATATCTATCCAAAAATAGAAAAAAGTCAACACATATTACAAGAAGAAATCATCGAAGCACACCAATCACAAGCTTTCTAGGACTATTTTCAACGATTAGAGAAGGCATTCATGTCTTTTGTGTGACATCAACACAGTACAACATCATCAAGTTTCATCAAGTCCTGTGTAACAAATGGGGCGTAAAGTGTGAAGTCTACAACATGACTCTTAGGTTGTGTTTGACAGACTAGCAGAAAAGCTAGCTTTTGTCTGATAAGCTGGCTGATAAAGTAATAGCTTTTGGTAAAAGTTAGATGACAAATGTAAAATGACATATAAAGGTATATCAATAAGCTATCTCAAATATCTTTTTAAAAAGTTAGCTTATAAACTACTTTAGTGATGCCACAAAATACTACATTGCAATATAATCTCAAAAAATAAGCTATCTTAAACACAGCCTTAATACTCATCCATTCATTTTAGTAAAACTGTAAGAAAACTCCTGAAAGCATCCAATAATCAAGTGAATCATTCTTCTAAGTTCTAATTACCCCTTAGAGATACAAGTAAACCTGTGTTTATTCTACTTCTTTTCCCTTTAAATTTCATAATTCAGCTTTCAATGATCTATAAGGCCTTGTTTACATAATTACATTGAAGACATTCATGAACGAGCTCACACACACAAAACAAACTTAATTTCTTAAAATCACAGCTAATGCTTAATCTAGCAACACGCAGAATTTGTAAATCCATTAGATGATGAGTTTACGCTAGAAGAAATTAGCAATAAAAAGCTGATCAAAGTCTCACATTACAATCGCTACCAAGGCGAGACCTAAGATACGGCAGCAGCTTCTTCCATTCTCTCCCCGTCCGACCATTAGCACCTTAAAAAAAAATCAATTTCATCAACAATTTACACGATCATGATCTACAAAAGTAAAAAAAGTTTATTTAAAGATTGGGATGCTAACCTTGAGGATTGACGATGAACACGATGTCACGGCGGCGAGAGGAGGAGGATCCACGAGAGGTTGCGGCGGAGATATCAGAAGCTGAAGGTTGTTCGGCTCGTAGAAACGAGGGTTTCGCCATTGACACCACCGCCATGCCTAGACAAACCATGTGTAATTTATTACTGAGTTCTTCTTGATTTGCGTGACTGTGTGTGTCAGTGTGCGTTAATGGCGATTATTTATGAAGGGGGCGTGCGTGTGAAGATAGCATAGATGTTAATGGCGATTATTTATGAAGGGGGCGTGCGTGTGAAGATAGCATAGATGTTAATGGCGATTATTTATGAAGGGGGCGTTTGATTTTGACTTTCTGTAGTTATCTGTTTGCTTCACTTCTTAAAATCCACATTCGTGTCTTGGAAAAACCCAATGAGCCTCCCAATTTTTGCAAAGAGTGTTTCGTAGTGTTGGGTACGAACATATAAAAACGAAAATTAGTATTAAAAATTAGATCTCGATTTAGCTTTGTTGGGTTGAGATTTGGTGATTCAAGGTCAAACTAGTTATTTTATCTTTCAAACTTGAGAGTTGAGACAACG